GTGAAATTTTGCCGCTCCCTAAAACGTAATTTTAGGGAGCGGCAAAATATAATACCTAAAAAGTTCCGCCCGGGGCGAGCAGCCCCTGCCGCCCCCCTACGCTACGCTACTGTCTTCAGCAGTACCGACTTCACCAGTTATAGAGTAACAGTTTAGTTCAGGGGTGTCCAACCCGCGGCCCGCGGGCCACATGCGGCCCAAGGCAAGTTCCAATGCGGCCCAATAAACGTGTAAACAAAACCGACAAAATGTTTTAATTTTTTTATTATTTATCTATTTCAACGGCATAAACTTAAAAAAGAAGTTTCACAAAGCCGTAAACTTTTATTCGTATTTTATTCTTGAATGGAAAGGAAATATTTTCAAGTACTTGGAATGAGTGAATGAGGAAGGATTACTAAATAAAGCTGGAGTTGTGACTCAAAGGATTATACACCCAAATTTGGGAGAAGGAGGGAAAGATGAGAAAAACAAAAGATATAGTAGTGAGAAAGGTTAAATAGATCTTCTGTTGACCCTTAATTTTCCAACCTTTCTCACTATTTTATCTTTTGTCCTTTCTTTTTTTTCCCTGCACTTGGGTCTATAATCCTTTGATTCACAACTGCAGCTTTATTTAGTATTTTTTCCGACGTTGCAAGATTTGGCTACATTGCGCCAAATGTGGCTACTTTTTTTGTTTGACCTAAAAAATATCATTTGGCGCTTTGGCTACTTTTGGGCTACCTATTATTTATATTAGTTGAATAAAAATGTACTTTAAAATGGTATTTCGTCGCTTTTTATTAATTAGAGACCAAATAAAACAAATATTTGTGTTTTTCAAATAATTTTTGTCTCCTTTATAATAAATGAATTTATCTATTTCTAAGTAAAAATTGAAAGTGTCTGTAGAAGTAATTTTTAAAATATCCTTTTTCTTGATAAAGTTTTAATACTTATTATTATAATCTAGACATGTTAATCCTTAAATATACTTGTATATTGAACCACAGCGGCGGCCTTATCCATTGCGAGGCTCTGGGCGGCAGATCTTTGCGAGGCCCTTGTTCTTTGTGCAAAGTATGTGAATTGAAATAGTAGGCACTTATTAATATTAATATATACTGTACTATAAATTAAATTTATTTTATTGTTATAACTAATAGCCAAGGATAAAATAAAAAGTTTTATGTATCAACTTTTTTGTACTTGGTTGTTGCGCGAGGCCCCTCCAAGAGCGAGGCCCCGGGCGATTGTCCAGCTCGCCACCCCCTGCCGCCCCCTACGCTACGCTACTGCTGGTGGCCCAAAACTCCTTGACTTCTTCCAATGCGGCCCAGAGAAACAAAAAGGTTGGACACCCCTGGTTTAGTTCTACAGCAATAACTCTTACAATGGACAAGGTCAAAAGTGAAAAAGCCTGGTGAATGGCCGAGTGGATAAAACTACTAAACTCTAGTAGTTGGTCCTGGACAACAGACTGTACACGGAGAGTTTTCCGGGGTTTTTTCAAATTTGTAAAACCTAAATAGGAATCAGCTTCCTTTGGAAAGGCCTTCTAAAAGAAGCGTAAGATTCAGGAAGAAAGATTTGAAAAAATATAAAGTATTTCACTAGGAAAATATTTCGAATTAAAACGAATAGAGATAGACTCTTGATGACTTTCTGATACATCACAAGCTTGAGCATATGTGCTGGACAGAGGAAAGTCGTAAATTAGAAAATAATATAATCTTCTGCAACAAGAATCAATAAAATTTTCTAGTGAAAGTGATGAACGCGACAATGACAGTAAAGATTACTTATCTAATTGGTTAAAAGTAACAGTTTATGAAAATTATTTCACTTTCACTAGAATTTGAGACTTTTTATTATTTACCATTATTCACAATGACTTACTTATGTAATGAAATATAGGCCTATACACAAAGTCTTGATTTTAGTACTAAATTTAATGTTTACTTAATTGACAAATTTTATATTTATGACCAATTTTAAGATTTTCTAAACATACCACGTCTTGCTATGAAGAACAACACAAGAAAGCGCAAGATTTCATGAACGCATCACCGTGATGTCAATGTCCCCCGTACTATCACTAAGGATGGCCAACTGTCATAAGAGATGACTCCTCACATTAGCGCGCCCGCATTGAATGCAGTTTTCCACTCAATCGTAAAGGCAAGATTGAAACGATCACCAGTGATCTGCAAACACTATACAGGTACACTGACAGTCAGTAGCACTCAATGCTTCTCTTTTATGTCATCACTGCAAACGAAGCCCACAATATTGACAGTACTACCATTAGAATCTTCTAATTGGTAGCGACTAGCAAAGGCAATGTTGGCAGTCCTGCCAACATTGCCTTTGCTAGTAGCTACCAATGGAAAGGAGAAAGAAACGGTTGAGTAGCGAGGCTTCCACTCGTCAACGACTAATCACTGATTAAGTTTACATTGAAATTCTAAATTCCGCCATTTTTCTGACGAAACCAGGACTAAATATGGCATCATTTCCAATTTTATATATTCGACTTAATTTTTTAAAACCTCTGATTGTACTTTTTAGATCATCCTCCTAGATCACTCCAGAGCAAAATCTTAGTTATGCCACTGATTATGATATTTATCTTATACTTAACAAACCATCCTATTTAACATGATAAAATTTTATTTCCAGAAATCAAGTTATAAATCATGAAACATTTCTTTTACATTTATTTATAAATCTAAGAAGAGTAAAGTTATTGAAAACTGTTATTAGTATACGAATTGTATTATTTAGCCATTCAAATTTATAAAAAAATCCACTTCTTATGTGTTATTTTTATTTAAAAAGACAATAAAAAAACTATAAAATTTCATAATTTTTAAAAAAATTAAACTTTAATTTCTGATTCAATGAGTATTATATCAAGTAACAGTAAAGTTTTACATACATCGAATACTGATTATAAAAATCATATTAAACGACACTTGCAACAAAAAAAATACTTTTTCCTTGTGTGAGGTATTGTTTCCTGAATATTACATAAAATTTTTTACAGTATTTACAAATCATTAAAATATACAAAAAATAAACTTTTAAACACCATTTATAAGAAAATATTTTGAATTTTAACGTGAAAAATCCAAATTTCATAACTAACCGATTAAAATTCAAATTTCACAATAGATGGCACTAAATAGAGCCATTTTGTTACCAAATTAACTGTATTTATATTACTACACACGAATTAAAACAAAATATATATTAAATGAATTGATGATTAATTAATTAACATTCATGATGTCTATCTTCTGTTATAAACTTATAAACTTCTCACATGAATTATATACATTGTCATGTAGAGTATTTTCTTAGTTTTTGTGAACGTTCGTCACCACCAACCTCCGTGTCCGTGTCCGCCGTCATGCAAGTAGTACGAAGTAGTATGATAATGAACCCTGAAAGGATACGAATATAAATTAGCGTATAAATTATGCACATTATATGTATGTATATATATATTAACTCACGGATAAGGTACGAATGTTGTATGACTATGTCCAGATTCTAATCCTCCTAGCAATCCGTGACTCGCTAATCCAAGTCCAACTCCTAATCCAAGTAAATGAAGTCCATGATGGCCACCCCCGTGAGATAAACCAAGCAAAGCAGCCCCACCTAAACCATATTTAAGTAGTTTTTTTATCTTTCCTGCTTCGCTTTGCTGAGCGAATATGACGAGAAGGAAAAATGCTACAAGTGCTGTTTTCCTCTTCATTCCTGCTATAGATAATTTTTTATTCAATTTATAAAAAACGAAAGTGAATTAATATTTTTTCAATTGCAATTTTAAAATAATTAAAAAACAATAAATTTCTTTAATACTTTCATAATAATAATGGCTACAGAACAATTTGACCATTGTCTTGAAACTATTAATAGAGGAAACACAATTAAAATTAGGGTAATACATGTATTATATCGCGGAATAATATGGATAAGTTTATAATTAACGTAAAATTAATGTAAATATAAATTAGACTATAATAATTGAATGTATACAGACAATGCAATGATATGTTCTATGTGTGAAAGTTATGTAACTTATCTACTTTATTTTCATAAAATTTTACTTAAAATATTCAAAATTTAACTATTAAATTTAAATAATATTAAAGTATATAACTATATTTTAACATTATATAATACGTATATTTTAAATTTTAATGTAATATATTTAAAATGTAATATTAATTCCTTGGCGTTTTCCTGCAGAATAAGATAAGTTACAATAATTTGAATATTGATGCATGCTTATTTTATTTAATGACAAATATAAAATAAATATAAAATAAAAGGTTAATAATAAAATATAGAATATAAAATTAATTTACACATTAGTACGATTCATATTTACTTAAAATTATATAAAATATTCCTCTTCATTAACTCTAAAACTCTAAAGATATTTCTAAATTAGTATTAAGAATAAAATTTCTCATGTCAAAATAATACTTTATATCGTGATTTATATCTATAAATTATTCTTAAAATTCACATTTTAGCTTAAAGTATACCTGAATAAATCTTATAAACTGTGTGAAACTTATCCCAAAGATCTATACTGTATATTTTATACAGGAGGACTTACTCAGTAATCCTGTTGTAGCTCAATTCACAAAGCTCTATAACTCTATTCTCTCTTCACTTGACTCTTTAAATATGTTTTTTAAAACCCACCTAATTTAGAAAGTGCTTTGAACTTCGCGACTTCCAATTGTTTCGATCGTCTTATAAGACGATTTTTCATTGGTTCGTGAGGAATGCCGCCGGGCATCCCCTGCAGTCTCGAATAGCAGGATACAACAATGATGTCATGTGTGGAAGAGAAAGTATTTTCAGTTTTTTCTAGGCCAATAGTTGGAGTCACGTGGTTACATTTTAGAAAGTTTCCGTCTTTGGCCAACTGTTTTATTGTTATTATTATTTTTTTTATAATAAAATATTTCTTTCACGTACAGATGCTCTAATTTATTGTCATAAATTATAATTTATTGATGATGAATTGGGTTAAAGCTTATATATTAAGTAGTTAAAAATTTGTATCTGATGTTTTTTTCTATATTTAAATTGGACATTATAATGTTGTGTTATGAGTAATGTAATTGAATAATAATCTGTACTAGACCGGACCATCTTAATAGGAAAATTCGACTTAAAATTCTCGGTATTATTGTTGGATTATTTATTTTTCATTTAGAAGGGAAAATGAGCGAAAAGTATATTTTAAAACTGTGTGAAACGATAACTTTCCTGTTATAATAAATTATTTTATTACCTTTTTTATTTTCGTGGAGGCCTGTTTTTTAATAGGCCTCCACGAAAATTGAAAACTGCTGAAAATGATTAAAAACTTTTATATTTTTTAATCTTTAAAATTATACTCATTTAATAGTGAATAGCGTACAAGAAATCTGTGCTTATAAATTTAAAATTCAGCAATAAAGTAGGGGTTGTGATAAGGTAAAGTAAAGGTTGGGTAAATTTGCACAGTAGATTTGGTGTGACAGAAGTGTTTTTTTTATAATTGTTTCTGGGATTTAAACTTGAAATTGATAGAAGAAATGAACGTAGAACAAATGCTTCGGGTTGAAGTATTTGAATTATTGTAACTGAATCAGAATATGAATAGAGCGTTGGCCTTGTCTAGTTCAAAAAGAATATCACTGATGATGAAATTTGTCTTTTGTGTTATTGACTTTAGTAAAATAAAGAACAACTTGTCGAAACTTTAATTTATATTCCATTTGTATGGCTTTCTTAAATTTTGGAAGACTGCGTCTAGATCTCGAGACAAATAACCTGCTGATTTCCTTCTGTCCTAGGATGATATATTTTAAACGAGTGTTATATCACTCTTTAAACGTTTTACACATACGTTTATATTTTAAATTAACTACTAAAAAATTGAAATACAGTAGAACCTCGAAAACTCGGCTCTCGATAACTCGGCACTCCGGATAACTCGGCCACACCCTGGCAGGGCAAAAAAATCCTTAGTTAACTAATTTTCATTATAGACAGCTTTATAAAAGTATAAAAGCTCTCATAAAGTATTTTTCTCAGGTCTGTCTTATCAGGTAAATTACTGTACACAGTGTATTCATTAATTTTCATTTTCATGTAGTAAAGGCTCTATGCCTTCATAAAGGACGTACTTTTCCTTTGTTTAAGGGTATTTGGGCAGTTTATTCTCTGTTATATTCTCAAGTAAACAATACATACAAGTACAGTACAGTATTTTCTGAGGAAACACTCGTACTTATTTTTTTTAACCCCATTCCCGATAACCCGGCATTTTCACAAACTCGGCCACCCTTCGGTCCACATTAGGCCGAGTTTTCGAGGTTCTACTGTATTGCAATTCATAATGATTATTGTTATTATAACAATAAAGAAATTCCACGTGGTTTCTGATAACCTTACAGACATATTTATTATGAAATTTACGTATTAAAAACAGTTTAATGCTGATAAAATTTAATAAAATTTTAATCATTTTGAAATTTTATTACAATAAAATATTTTTTTATCTACAAAATTTTATCTCGAATAATTTTTTAACTAATAATAAAAAATAATTTATAAAAAATATCTTACTTCCTACAAAAGGATCTATTAAGTTATTAGTTATGGAAGGATAATTATATTCATATTTGATTTAATCAAATAGGTTATTTGAATTTAGCAAGAGCCTCTTGCAAGTTAGGAAGTCGTTACGCTTGATCCTATTTTAATCTGTTATAGCTTTCTCTTATTATTTCTTAATTATTCGCTACAAAATGAATAATTTATAAGACAGATAGTCTATAAAACTTTCTTTCTTGTATCTGTAGTTATGTAGAAATTCTATATCTGTAACAAGTATCAGACATTTCTGATAACGATTATTATCTGCATTTGCTTCAGAATCTATAAATCATATTGATAATGTCAGAATTTCGATATCAGTAACGATAACAATAACCGACTTACTGGTGCAGATATATATATATATTTTATTTTATGGTATGATAATATTTAACATTCTTTAAAAATAATTCTATACTCGATTAATTATAATTATCGAATATACTCGAATAATTATCGAAAAATCTATAGAAGTTAAACCCTTAATTAATATGAAAAATTCTTAAATTATCTTTATGCAAGTGTAGAATCTGCTATACTTTTAAAGATTTAGTAGGTTATACACGCTAATAAATATAATTTAAAGGGCTCATAAATTCTGATTTGTCTTAAAAATCTAAAGTTATAATCGTACGAATTTCTTCCCGAAGTAAAAAAGAAAGCATTTTTTACGAATTCTCCGAAGTGAAGTAATGAAATAAGGCAACTCAACCCTTTGGCTATCTGCCAATTGGGAGGTGTTTTCCGGGAAGACTTTCTATAAAAACCTGGGCCGTATTTGGATAGTATGTGCTCTGGTAAGTTCTCCGGACCCTCTCCTAATCACATTTCCCCACCCGAATCATTTGGAGAGATATTTTTAGTATTCCTTCTCCACATATTACAGAGATGTCCTTGTAAAGAAACAAAGAAATTTATTTGATGTGATAGATCATTTCTAGTCTTTTGTATACGATAGTATACTTAGTGACACTTTTTAATGTACTCTATACCCAAAAACAGAGACTAAAGAGAGATGTGATGGATCACGACGATTAGAAATGTAAAGTCGCTTCTCCCTAAAGAGACAGAAATATAAAAACAAAATCAACGAAACAAATAAAAGCAAATTTCTTTTATCATTTTCATAAAATATTCGACTCCTTCTGAGTCTTATGACTTAGTAAATGCATTAACTGATACCACCTCAAAAGATGGAATTTATCGAGTTGCTAATGTATTCACTATAAATAAAATACAGCATAAAAATTAGAACGATTTTATTATCAAAAATTCATCATTTTTGTGCGACAAAATAACCCTTTTGGTCCCCCCCGCTACCAGGACCACCGAGAAGCTCATGAAAATGAAATTGGTAAATTGTTTACTTTTTATTTTCCAGAAAGAAACTGGTTATTTTAAAAAGTTTGACCTCTTGAAGTGACCTTTAGCATTAATGTAAACAGTATTATATTATAACAGTACTAATTAACATAAAGTTATTAACTTTTTAAGTAATTGGTTTGTGTGTATGACTTTATAATATATATATCAAAGAATGGGTACTGTGTATGTATATGTATATATAACAGCAATATATAAATAGCACATATATAAACAGTATTATATAATCGTATATAGATATAGTAGAGTAAATATATATTAGTACTAATCTACTATATATTATCAATATATACGCTATATATACTAGTATAGGTACAAGACATCTACCAACATTTAATTCAAATAATAACATGTATAGTAACTGTTATTAACATTTTAAATATAATTCCATACAAACAAATCTCCATGAATACAATATAGAAGTGTACAGAAGTGTACTTATTTAGCTACAGTCTACAAAACAAATTTGAAATTTCACTTAGAAATCATTTATTGATATTTAACCAAGTGTAATTAATTTATCGATTCTGACAAGTTAATTGATTATTGTTTTTATAATTGCTGCAGGGAATATTTAAAATACCCCAAGATAATAATATCAAACGTCACTTTTTGTATACCTGCAATGAATTCTTAATTAGCACTTAATTTGATTTATTACAATCGTCAATGTTGATGTCAACTTTTTGTTAACATGAATAAGTGACACGACATCTAGTTTATTTTTTATGTTTCGGAACGATAAACTCGTTCCTGATAAAATATTGATATTTATATACGTGTACTGAAGCAATTTTTATTTAAACTTATTCGAGTTGGGCATTTAATTTAATCGTATAGGTCGAAATAGCCACTGATTTGAAATAAAATGTTGGACATAAAGAAAATTTCGCACACTATTTATGTATTAGAATTATCACACGTTATGAAAATTCGTGAACAGTCAGAATTAAAGCGAACCAAAAATTGTTACATTGTGGATTACGAGTTTGCAGCATTTATTCCCTCAAATTTTAATGCATTTATGTGGAATAATTGGCCTATAATCTTTGCTATGCGTATACAATAGAAACACAAAGAGTACACACGAGTAGGCAATAAAAACAACACATAACAGAAGCATATACATAAATGTATGATACTGTAATCATGCATTTGTACGTACTGTACAGCACAGAAATAATACGTAATAAAACATATTTTTTTGTACTTAATCAAAATTACTTTTTATTTATTTATTTATTTATAGACACACGCAATTGCTCACAGGCGTGTTAATATTACTAGACTACATTTTAAAAATTTACATAAGCTCCTATAATACAGATATAAAAATTATTTTCAGTTTTTAATGACTTCCTTCTACGTTCTCCTTTCTGATTATATATATGTTAATGATTCCTATTTTAATATAAGGACTCTGGAAGCCTTAAGGCAGATGAAAACTGAAATGAATACGTTTCATCCTTTAACCCTCGTGAATTAAGAAAAACGTGCAGTTTTTCGAGCATGAAAAGAACACAAAAAGTTGTATGTCCACTTTAATCTTAAAATAAAATCATGTGACAGTATAATGAATATTTCGTTTTACATAATTTTATTCATCTGAAAATAAATTGTACAAAATTATTCGATTGTTCTACAATTGTTGTAAATTGTACTCCTATTATTTTAAACCGAGACGTTATTTTTGGATTCTCTTGACATTAAAATCTTAAAGAAATTAATATTTAACAGGGTATATGTACAAATTTACACGCATACAAAGCGTTAATTGGATATATTTAACCGTCTTCATAAGGAATTTTAACGTTAATGTTCACGTGTATTATCTACATATGTGCTATTAACATACAAAAAATTTCATCTGAACATACAAATTATCTTTATTTAATAATTTTACGATTGTATTTACTACGAAAAATATTCTACATAATCAAACCCGTGTGTCTCACATCTCTCTTCAGCAGTGTGAACAAATATCAAGCACAAACATCATCATTATGAGACTATTATAATAATAATAAAACAATAAAAATTGGTCGAAAATGATGATGATAAACTTAGGTTTATACATCTTATATATATATATATATTTAATTAAAAATTGTGAGTATTAATAATTACTATTAACTAAATCCGATTGGTACATCTTTAAACAGATGAAAATGTATTGCAGTGTTCCATTTTCGTTTTGTCCTTCGGAATCTGTTATTGAAATTTATTAATGAGTTAAATTTCATTATTAATAAGTTTAAAATTTTATTTTAAAATATGAAATACTCACTTATTGATGACCATGATGAGCGTGGTGCCCATGTTGAGCATGATGCCCATGATGACCGTGGTGTGCATGATGACCGTGGTGTGCATGATGACCGTGGTGACCATGATGCTCGTGGTGACCGTGATGTTCATGATGATCGTGATGTTCATGATGATCGTGATGACCGTGATGATGTTTGTGATGCTTGTGGTGATGAAGTTTGTGAAGAAGTTTATGGAGATGATGATGATGACCGTGATGATGGAGTTTGTGGTGATGATGGTGGCCGTGATGATGATGATGGTGTGGATGGTGATGATGGTGGTGGCCGTGATGATGATGGTGGTGGTGATGATCTTCGTGGTGGTGGTGGTGGTGGTGAGGATGATGATGATGGTGATGATGATGTTCTTCGTGATGATGGTGGTGATGATGTTTCTCGTGATGATGATGGTGTTTTTCGTGGTGATGATGATGATCGTGGTGGCCGTGATGGTGTTTGAAAAGATGGCCTAACAAACCATAATGTAGTAGCTTCCTAGTCGCAAGTGCCGTCGATTCATTTTCATGCACCAGTATAATAATAATTACAATGGGCATCAATAGAAGACATAGTCTCTGTTTGTAAAGCATTTTTACACTAGAGAACAAACCTGTGGGATAATAAATTATTTAAAAATATAGATATTTCTATAAACGCTAGAATGAACAGATATCGATCTAACTGAATAAAAATAAATCATACCTTATGCTTAATCCGACTAGTAATCTTCCGAGACGATCAGAAATAACTGAAGACGTTCCATGGGAACAATCATTTAAATATGCTCTGTAAAATGCAGAAAGATCTTTGAACTTGAATCGAGAGAGTGAAAAAGTAAAGATTTACAAAAAAAACAGACGGGGCATTATCATCTTTCAAGGTTTAATTTAGGAGCTTCATTTGACATTTGGGTCACGAGCAAATGGTACTTGACATTTTGCTTCGACCATATCATGACTTTTCCCTTCTGAACCAACCCGTATATGGAAACAGCAAAGAAAAAAACCTCTGTGAATTATTCTATTATTCACTTGAGACTACTTAAATCCTTTGATGCACTTCTTCGTATTCTTTGAAACAGTGATGCACATGAAAAAGTTTTTATCAAAAATTATAAAAAGAAATTTTGCAGTTTTTTTAATGATATTTTATTATATAAATTTATAATTTTAGTAATAATTGACTATTATTAGAAACCATAAAATAAAGTAACTAGTGGAACACTATGTTGTATGGCTATATGAAGTACAGTACCTTTTTGTATAGTGCCTTTAGTAATGCTGAATACATAAATTGAATTAGTTTTAGAAGTATAAAACTGTAAATTTACTTAAGTCTATATATATTTTTACTATTTTTACAATTATATAAATTAGCAAATCATATTTTGTAGTACAATAGTATAGCGTACTACTATCGTACTACAAAATACATGTTTGCATAAAAATCCGAAAGTTAAGTCACTTAAATTTTGTATTAATATAAGAATATGCACCCTTTAACATTGATTTTCTTAACAGAATTGCATTATGTATAAAATATTTTACAATATGTATATAATTTTGAAACGATACGACGCTGGCGGGACGGGAATACGTTACAATACGGAAATGAAATATTGTATATATTTAATGTAGAAATATGAATATACATAGTGGCATTGACACCCGTATCGTCAACAATAGATGCTGACCCAATTTCTATGCAGAGCCATGTACATTAGAATCATTAGCGTATAGTTAATGATCTATCATGGTTGGATGAATGCGACCTCAACAGTTTTCTTTCGTGTCGGTTAATTGGATGTCAAATTAAACGTTGGAAAAATCCAAATAGAAAAATAAAGATTTTAATTAATAAATATTGAAAATTTTCAAATCATTTTTATCAAATAAGTAGCAAAGGTGAGTGATCTCTTACCAGATTTCGTACGTAGTAGTCTAATTGATTGTTTAAATGATTCTTAGGTTGAATGTCCTTATATATTGATGATTTTATCTCATGCATATAATAATTCATCACTGTCCTAGTTTGAATTTCGGATGATTGCTGAAATTATAACCAGTGGGGATCATAAAAATAGCATTAAAGTGTTGTAAAGATAAAAAAAAAATTAGTTTGTATGTACTGTTACGGCAATACAACTCCCATAAAAAAAATATATTAAAAAACTATGAATTTTATAATAAAAATTATACTTCTTTTGAGGAAGTTTTGTTAAAATATTACTTAATTAAGACAATTAGTTAATATACACCTTTATTACAAGCATGTATAGTGAAACCTGTGTAAACCGGGCTCGCACAGTACCGAATATTTCTTCCGATTTGACAGGTTTCTGTTTTGAGCAGGTTTTTTAAAAACCGAAAATGGCTGCATTTTGAAGAATTTGTCCTCTTTAGGTAGGTTTTACTATAAAAGGTAAGTTTTCAACTATATTTAAAGGAAGAAATTATATAACTTTTAAAAAAGTCAATATCTTTATAAACATTAATGGGTAGGAAATAAATTGAAAAACCGTATAACTCATTGATTTCCTATTAAAGACTTGTTAATTCAGAAAAAATAAATAAATCAATTAATTTTTAAATATTTAAAATTTATAAATATAGGGAAAGAAATACGCCTATAATAAATTACAGTTTTTATAAAAGGAAAAATCACGTTTTATTTAAAACAAATGCCTGATATAAAAATTATTTAAAGTTTAATGGCTAATTATAAAATAAATTTAACAATTATTCACAAGCAAAAAACATTTGATTTATCGTTATATATACTTAAATATACCAGTCGATTATTTATTTATTATAATTTTACCGTATTTTATTTCCTTATACCTTTATAAACTTATAAATGTTGAGATATTTGTGTTGCATTATGTAACAGAATTGACTTTTGTGAACCGGTCATTAAATTAAGTAAACGAGGAAAAACCGGCTTATTTTTTCTATTTTACTCTGGAATAAATTAATAATTTTATACAATTTGTATGTGTTAAATGTACAGATTTTAGGATTCTAATCTCTAATTTCCTACGGAGAAATTTGTGTGTTAGATGCGCATAATCATTAACTCTGTGGATGCATAAATCTAAGGAAGAGATTTGAGTACGGAGATTTATAGGTTAGTTCCTGATATAACCGGACTCATCTGTGTCACTTGGTATAATAAGTTCTTATCTTCGTTACGGAGGAGTTTAAGTATTTTAAATTTATAATATTGTAAAGATTTACGAGAATTCTTAAAGTGATGTTGAAGGTGTCGCGTCATGACTTTCCATCCGTTTCATTCGAGTTCCATTGTTTCTGTCAAGTAAACCATTGAAGAATATTTTTTCTCGAAGAGTGAAAGTTAAATCTTGTAGGTCAATAGGATTAATCGGAAGTTTTTGAAAGTTCTTTCCTCAATCGAAATAATGGATCGTAATGAATATGTTACAAATTGCTTTCCTGATTAAATTTCCTTTTTCTCAATCAAAGATAACTTTCCTTCTTAAGAAAACGTTATAAAAAAAATAATAAATGAAAAATTATATAGGAAGACAGATCGAAAATAGAAAATCCTGTGTAAAAAAGAGTCAGCTGGATTTATTCCTTACTCTGGAACACGTTTAAGTTTAGATAGATAATTAATCTTTTGTTTGAATAGAATAGATTCAAAGACAATCAAGAATTTCAAGTTTATTTTTTCAAAATTATATTAATAATTATACGAGTATTTTGAAGTTTGCTTTATCCTCGACGTTTCTATATTTTATCTCTCATATTTTTGTAATAAATTTTATTTTAAAAAAGTCTGTAATGACATCCACAGTTAAGATGGCCGGGTGAGTCTTCTTTGAGAAAACTTTTAAAAAATGTTTCCTTGAAAGTCAATTCAGTAGCGCGTTACAGCTTCCTGTGGCCCAAATTTGAATTAGGGGACCCATAAACAAAGTTGACTTCATGCATTTTTTTTCGGGGAAATTTTTTCGGGAAGTATTTTATTATTAAAGATTGGTTTGGGGCCCCATGCTAGTGGGGCAATTGTTTCTTTTGCTCGTAGGAAAACGTGATGCAAGATCTAAATCGTCCATGATATTGTTTTCTGTATATATTATAAAAAAAAATCTGCTAATATATTTATCGTCGCTTAATTTAGATCTTTTCAGTACATTGCAAAGGGTGGCTGATGAAAATACCACTTCTTTATTATATAACCTCCCCGTGCGGTGAACAACCTTCATACTTCTCACAATAGACCTTTTCTTGTAGAACCTGGAGCCGTAATTTTATTTTTCCTGTAGTTGACTTCTACAATGCCACAATCCTGTAATTAAATTACAACCAGAATAAAAAACTTCCGCTCCGACACTAAAACATTATTGACAATATGGCAAGTAATTAACTATGCATAATTTTTTATTTGTTTTATGTTTAATTATTCCCAATGTTATGCAAAGTGTTCGAATTCCATGAAGCACCCACAATTGGCTGAGTTTAATCCTCAGTTGTTGTGTGCTGGAGTATCTCAGTATCTCATCAATTCTTAATATTTATGTAATAAACAATAAAGGTTATTACAATAAGATAAAATTATAATTTATTAGTGAATTAAAATGATATTTTAAATATTTTAAAAATATTTTTCCGTAAAATTTTTATTAGAAAAATAGAATTATTACAGAGAACAATTAAAAGAATATGCGGTAAAATTAACCTGCTAAGTGAAATATTTCTTTTAAGTATTTTTACTTGAGAAAACTGTATATCAATTTACAAAAATATATGGAGGAAAAGTACTATAGGACACAGTTTTCTCCAAAAAATACTGTCTGAAAATTCCCTATTTTTGCAATGCAATGTTGTTGCTATTTGTACTTGAATATTTTTTGTTGTTGTACCTAAATACATTTTACACGCCAATTACTGTATATGAAAATTACAGTATTTTATTTTACAACGAGTAATTATTTTGTTGTGACATCGTCAAAATGAGGGAATTTTTAATCATATTTTAGTTTAAAAAATCCCTAATACTTAAAGTTAATTCCTAAGTCTTCCATATCTTACCTCGATTTTTATGTACCGTTATCGAGATTAAAGAAGGACGGACAGACAGGCGAGAGTGAGAATCTATATATCTGCAATTTAAAAATTGCAGCCCAATAAAGTATTTTTAAAAATGTAATGTAAAAAGAAAATACCTTTAGAAAATGGGGTGGGTCTTATACACCGGCTTCTATATTTTCGTAAATTGATATACAATTATTATAATATATTAAAATTTATTTATTGATATTAATTAATTACTTTACAAAAGAAAACAACGCGAAAAGTATGATTAAAGTCTAATTAAATGCAACACACTGATTTGTCCTATAAAACTATATTTCACTTTCGGCACATATTTAAGTATGGAGTTTATATTTAGGTATTTTACGAAACACTTCCATTTTTTTTATTTCTTTACGTTTCT